GCGTGCCAAACGTAGGGTAGCGTATCACAGCGTAGGCAAACGCTATCACGGCGGTCGTCCTTGTGCTCAGAGATCCGATCAGACTTGCCAAACGTAGGAAATCGTATCCCGTAGCTGCCAACCACTGTTAGGAATTTGCTGTCTCGCGACGGTAGCGGTGGCGAAGAGCGGTGAGCAGTCGAGCGGACTTCGCTGAAGCCTTTGCCCGAAGGCGAAGCAGGGAGGCAATCCGTTTTGAAAACAGCAACAAGAAGGAGCGTTTACTGTAGCAGGTTGTCATTTGTACAGAGCCGGCCAGCACGACAACGTCGGCTGGGGCAAATCCTCTAAACATGGGGCCGGCACGGCCTTAAATAGCGTTTTTGAACTCTTCTGCGAGATCAGTTCCCCGGAACGGCACAGTGGCTCGGCTGAGGAGACGCAGCCATACCCGGAACTGCAAGGTGGTTCGGCAGAGGAAGCGACGTTATCCCCGGTGCTGCACAGTTCTTCTGCACGGAAGGCGGCGCTAGGAGCAGGTGACAGTTCGTCGGAACAGCGCTCGATCTCGTGAGACGTGCTTCCGAACGAGGAAAATGTCTGTGGCATAACAATACGCATTTGAGCCAATTGACGGTATATAAAATGCATTGACTACAGTTTACTGTTAATATCTACACTCTTCTCTACTGAATCGGTGCACGACGCCTATGCAACATTAACGTTACGTGCGAGTAAAGCACATTCTGCTTTTCTTAGGGATGCTCACTCTAGGTGGCTCTTCATGCTATTGCACTAAATCATGCTTTTGCTGTACTGTTTGTATGTGGTTACCTTGCGTTCCACCTGCTATGCACTGCTGTAGCATGACTGAACTATTTATTTTTATCTTTTTCCACTGCATACTACAAAAAAAAAAGAGAAAGAAAGATCGCAGAAAGCTCGAATATCTCTGCGATTAGTTCACTACCACTGTTCACACCTTATACCCATACTTTTTCTTCTCTCATTCTGTTCACTATAAAATGTAAGACAGTTGATAAGTCTAGTTAGGAATTCTCAGCGGCTGACGGCGCTTTGCGCTACACTGCTTTTACCACGTGTATGCACAAATTATTGCACCAGTAAAAATATAAAAGTCTTAGTCTTATATAAGAGTTCAACAGAAAGCTTTCATCAATGGATTACGTGCATGACAGTGCTACAACAAAGGCCTGGTTAATGGGACAAGCATGCTTTTTTTTTTTTTCAGACAAAAAATTACCACAGTCTTCAGTTGGTCACTAACAATGCCACATAAACGCTGAAGATAATAAAAAAAGATGAAATTTTCAGTGATATTATATGACAATAAATATAAAGCATGCCGTATGAAATATTTTTCAATGTCTGGGCTCTTTTGAGTGTTCTTAAATTTAAGCACACAGTTGTGCACAGTAACTCTTTTAAGTACAGTTTAAGTTCCGATGTGTCGAAGTTTATGTGATAGTAATACAGTCAAACACAAATATAATGAACAAACACAGATATATCGAACTCGAAGGGGATCACAAATTAGTTAGATATATGAAAAATTCGATATAAAACAAATAGAGGCCCCAAGAGCTTACCTGTAGCAGATCATCACCTACAATAGGTGCATTCAAGAATGACAACTAATTCCGCACACACGCCACAATACAATGATTTATTTGTGTGAAAAAAAATGCAAATCTAGGCCTGCTTCTTTCATTTTGAAATGTTGAAGGCACTAGTCTTGACCTTATCAAGGCTGTCCAGGGGCGACAGCCTGAAGCACCGGTTCCCTCTATGTGACCGATACAATGGCGAATGATGCCGAACGTTGCCCCCACTTCAGTGGCAGAGTACACGTGTGTAGCCTACGCCTCCTCCGGACAATCCTCCTCATCATATGAGCTGTCAGCATGGACATTGCAGTCCACTTCCACGAAGTCGTTCGCAGACACTTCCTGTGAAACTGCCGGGAAGCGGGATGACAACTAACTAAATGCGTCGTCTATGCACTCGTCATCGTCTTCACCGGTTACTGCAAGTTCTGCCATCTCGAAGCCTGCCTTGCGGAAGCAGTTGACCACTGTGTCTGTCTTCTTATCTCACCAGGCTTTGAAAATTTTCGTGGGCGAAAACTTCACAGAGATTTTCAGCCACTTCTTCGTCATACACTGCTGCATGTCCTGGCTTCTGACAGCTTCGCTTTTGCCAGAACTGGTTTTGCCAACGATGTTGTAGCGCTGCTTAAATCATTGAGGCTACCCGCTGTTGTCCGTAAAGTTGTTTCACCTAGTGCAGCGGCAAACCATTTGGCCTTGGCGATCAGCATTAGTCCATCCACCGGAATGTTCTGCGTGCCCTTTTTGGAACCAGGCATAGAGTGCCTTTTTAGATTTCTGTGGGCAGAAGCGAACATATGACAGACACCCGACGTTCGCTGCCCCGCCACCTTTGCTTTGATATTTGTCTTATTTTTCAACAAGATACTCGGAGTGCTCCGTGGTATCCCGGAGTCGTCCGCGACGATCGAACATTGGTTACCCGCCTCAACACGCTGATAGCCTTCAACTTCGTCACAAAGTCAAGGGTTTTGCGCTTCTTGACGCCGGCCATAGCTAAATGAGAAGTTGACAATTCAAGGAGTCCCCAATGGCTTTGCACACCACGCACACAAAAGAGAAATGCTGCACATGCAGTGGTATGTAGGTGATGCAACAACGTTACGAAAGCAACAAAGCACTTGCGAGGTGATGGCCACCTGCGAGTGCAACAGCAAAAGGCGCTAGCTGAGCTTTGGCCGGCTGATCGAATCTCGAAAACACCAAAAAAACTGAATAAAAGAAACGGTGGAAAAAGGAGAACATCTGCTCTTTCGTGTCTGCTCTCCAGGATAACCGGTACATGGAAAAAGCATGAAAGAGAGAAAAAGAAAAAAAAAAAGCCGTTTCGCAAGTTAGAGATTGTGCAGTCCAAACCCTCTCGCCCTTACCTTTTTTCAACCGTTTTGGGTTTCGGCAGAGGTGTGGTGCCACGCGGAGGTCGCCAGGCAGTGCGAGTAACAAAGTGCGCCTTCGAACTCGAGCGTTAAGGTCGAAGGGGGGGGGGGGGGGACACCGAGTGTTCAAGCGCACTTTCCAGCTTGCGCGGCATTCAATATATCCGAAGGTGGATAAAAATACTATTCGATATAAGCCTGCAAACTTCTGTACTTTTGTAAACGAGTTTCAAGGGGATAACTCGCGAGTTTGATATACCCGAAAATTCTATATATATGGATTCGATATAACCTTGTTCGACTCTATTTATATGTAGTGGTACCATGGCCAGATAAACGCAACTAAGGCTCCTTGCATGCCCGATAAACTACAGTGCCATAGTTTTACACCTACCAATAATGCGCAAGTGTGTGGCCTGAAGCCTGTGTTTTCTTTTTGTTTTGTTTTTTTTTACAACCGAAGCTGCATTCACACATCATTTTCTAGCCCTCATGTTTGGGAGGATGCCAAGAGCATTTTGCAATGTGCTTGAAACAGAAAGCGGCACCCACTCTGAAATTATTCTGGTGAGTACCACGACAATAAACAGCACTCTGGAAAGTTGCACTAGCCAATCTTATTACATGCATTAGCATCCGAGCAAGACCAAATGATTTTGTACGTCGTTTTAGGAATAGGCAGAAACAGTTACACTTGCGCTGACATAACCGAACAAGCCACACTTTTAGAATGTGCATGATGTACGCACACATAGAAGCACAATGTGGCTAGCAGACGACGCACGGAGCAATCCACACTTCAGCACTTTGGCCAGTTGCCAGGCGGCGACTCGGCTCGATCTCGCGGTCTATACTCATACACTTTTCTGAGTAAATTTTGTCGTCTTGTGGTAAGGATCTGCAGGTGTTCCAATATAAATGAAGAATTGTGATGTGAATAATTCCTCTATAAATGAGATGTCCAATTAACTTCGCTATTTCATCTAGCGTCACCTCTTTCCAAGAGCCACCTCACTCCGGATAGGTTCCAATATATGCATACAAGCATATTTCTTTGCATTCTTGCGCATATCATATTAAAAAAAAAAAGGACAATATCGCGCCCTGTTCTAAAACGTTTCGGACTGCTCCGTAGCCAGGGCCAAGATGTGCTCAGGGGGCCTTCTCGTTAGGGGAAGCTATGCAGCCAGCACCAGCACACCGCGCCGCAGCTAAGTGTGGACTACGCATGTAAACAGAGTTGCTAAAATACTGTGCACAACGGTCAGAAGCTATATGCACTTGCGTCAGAGGAGACAACTTGAGGATGTAATCAAAACGAAACTATGAACGGCCGCGGATGTCTCAGGCTGACGCAAAACATCGTCGCCATATAACATGAAGCTGAGCTGCTGTCATCTTCGTCCTCACTCAATTCAGGTGGGGTGGCAAGACAATTTTAAGCAGTGCATGTGTTTTGCAGCGCTGGTGCGCACTCGTGCGCGCGTGACCACGATGTAATGGGAGCGACTAGGGGCACTAGATGCGACCCTGTGTCTGATATAACGATGCAAGTAGAACCAAAGCTGCTCGAAACTGGCAGAGAAGGTCACCTCGACACTTTAAACATGAAGAGGAAATAGTTTTTGTAGAAAAAATTTTCCCCGACTCTTAAGAACAGCTCTCTACTGAATAGCTGGCATAAATTTCTGGCAATTATTACTGCTCAACATAGTCAAATTGCGAAGCTCACACTTTAATTAATATTTCGTTAGCAAAGGTTTTTTTCATACCAGAACTTTGATGTTACTGCAGCATAAACATGAGGCGCACGCACCTCTGTTCAGTTTGCCAGCCAATAGAGAGTTTGACTGGTAGTGTAAGCATGTTGCCCTTTACTGTTGTTACGGGAACGGCAAACTCTGAGCCATTTATAGTACTTAGAGGTGCATGCGGTCGTCGCACTGAAGGTCTGTTACTCAAGAGAACTTGCGCGGCCATCAAATTCTGCGTATTTACAAGTCTTTTGGCTCACCCAATACCAGCGGATGTATGGTAGATGCGTGGCCGTCATCTCCGCCACCGCCAGGATCATCATTGACGAAGCGGTTGTAGCCATACTGGCGCATCTGCGTCGCCCTCTTGGCAATCGGGTTGTTCTGTGAGGAGCGACGTGCGAGCTCTTGCAGCCGCGCCACCAGTGGAGGGGGAGGCTCATCACTCTCGGGCTGCAAGCCCAACAAGTCCGGTGGCTCCATGGGGTTGCGCAAATACAGTTCATCGATGGAACCCGGGTTTCCCCAAGTGCGGCCACTCACGTCCATGTGTCCCGTATGAATGAAGCTGCACCAGACAAAATAAAATTACAGTTCCCTTATTAAAGTTTGGGGTGAATCACAGCTTTACATGCATCATTTGTCCCATTTTCTAGCCAAGAATATCTGCTTCCTTTTAGCCATTAGAATAAAGTACTAAATGAGTAGCCGAAAAATCACGCATGCACACTGCCCAGCTGGCAGGAACCAATGCATTGAGGATGACAAGACCAAGACAAAATTCTCCCCGTAACAAAATATTGGATGCGAAGCATTTTTTTTGCATACTGCAGACACTTTAAGCCTGCTTTCCCATTTGCGCACCTGCCTGCCTGCCTGTAATTTTGGGCAAAAGTACAAAATTGCCAAAAGTAATTACGAGAGCCTGCTATGGCTACCACCTCATCTGTCAATCAACCATTTTCTTTCTGCAAGGCTGAATTTCTATCAGCTGGTACTGGTGTGCAACAACGATTTGCACAGCATGCATACTCAGTAGATCAGCGTGTGACTGATTGGGGCATATACATATTGTGAGAAGAGAAGAGCCTGCACCACTACTGTATCGCTGGTATGGGGCATATACAGTAGACATGCCAAGAAAAGAGTGCAGCCAATACAACTGGCCAAGATATGTGTGGACATACACAGATCATCAGTCCAATATCAATAGCTGATAGATACTAAGATCAATTTTGAAGTGCACAATGCAATGAGCAATGCAATGAAGTGCACAATGAGCACAGAATGGAGGAGCTTTTGACATGGACATCAACTTGGTTGTTTTGTAAACAACCACCTGTACGCCACACATTTGTTCCATGCTCTCTGTGTGTGCTCTCCACCTGTCACAGAGCACGAAGCATTCATGATATATATATATATATATATACATGAACAGGCATCCGCAGGCATCTTGAAAAATGGCATGAACCAAGAGAAACACTTGAACTGGCAAAACCACCTTGTAGCCCAAAGCTGCAACCAGAATGCAGGAAGACAAAAGAACAAAAAAAGTGAGTGGTTGCATGAGCTGCCCTTACAAGAACACACACGCATGCGTGTGCTTTTTGGCTGTGTTCATCAGCAGACGACAGGGGCATTTCAGCCAGTGAGCATGTAAGTCTTTTTCTTTTTACTTACCAGTTCCAACAAGCACATCTTTTGGAGAAACATAGGCCTTAAAATCGCATGCCCATTGGATTTGAGCACAAACCAAAACTGCCCCATAGCTGCCCATCATCATGACGTTTGCTTGCAGAATGACAGCACTATAACGACAGCACAGAACCGACTTGCAATCTGTCTCGTACCATCAATCTGTGTTGTGAAATTTTTAATGCCATTACAGCACTGAAGAGAAGATGTTGAGGTACGATAGTGATAAGAAGTTGCCCGACAGCAATAGTGAACGAAGCGCGGTAAATGAACGGCCTGTTCTCAAGTGATGGTATGAAAGATGATTGCACAACTTCTTTGTTCGTGGAAATTACATGCTCATTAGAAGCAGGCTCATTACTTTTTTATTTTTTTTTCATTGGTCACCAACAGGTGTGTGTTAGAATTGATGCTTAGTCTCTCTTTTTTTGTTTAGTGACGAAAACCTGTGCATGCCAGACTCAGGGGTGTGTTGAAATTCAGTAAATACAGTATTTATTTAAATTTACATCAGTTCCTGCGAGTTTATGCAAGGAATAGAAAACGAATGCACTTCGCACCCACACTCCACGAGACTGGGACAGAATGGAAGCTACACACACGTCTCTTGGCAACTGTTCCAGCACCAATTTTTTTGTGAGCCACCAGCATGATGTCACTCTCCATGAGCTTGACATTATCTAGCTGACTGAAACAGCGGAGTTGTGCTTTTTAAATGTTTTTTGCTCCTTGGCCACAGTTGTCAACGCAGTGCTCAGATGCGCAAGTCATTGTTTTTTGTAGTCACGTGGCCAACAGGTTTTAAAATAAACCCATCCATGGTCTCATTTTCCTTCGTGCTCTCTGAAACCAGAACTGCAACAAAGAGCTACGATGTCTATTGAGTAGATATTATGTACTATTAGCTACTACACTCGAACCTCCATATAACAATATAACGAAATATCGGTTATAACGAAATAAATAGTGGGAGACTAAATCTTTATTATCTTCATGTAATACGCAACTTTGTAATAATGAGGCTTGAGTGTAGTACTAGTAGGTAGCTCGTAATACTCAGAATTAACTACACTCAAACCTCATTCTTACGAAGTTTAAGGGGAGCCACAATTACTTCATTATATCCATTATTTCGTTATATCGATACGAGTTTGTGGCAATGTATGCTCAAATGGGCGCACACCTATAAGCATGCAAAAAAAGGAAACCGCCTTGCAGCCTGATCTACCGCTACGCGACCATGTGTGCAACGAAAAATAAACACAGTCGAATCTCATTAACTTGAACGCACTTAATTCAAACTTCCGGTTAATTCGAACTCCCGCTGTGGTCCCGTCAAAGCTATGTGTATTCCAATGGTCGAAAACCCCCTGTAATTCGAACGCGCGAGCACTTGCGACGATTAATTCGAACATACTGCGCTCCGAAAGTGCTCTCAGCACCATGCCCAATCTCGCGGCAGCACCTCTCAACGCTGCGCACGAAAAGGAAGAAAAGAAAAGGAAAGACTGTGGTGGATTGTTTGTTCTCTCTCAAATGCCGATCTGCGACGCGCCTGTGTCACGCTTCTCCCTTTTCCGTCTCTGCGCGTAGAGACCCTTCTCCTTTCAAGGCCATGCGCGGAGAGAGAGGAAAAAAAAAAAGAAAGCTATCGTGGAGAGTACTTTCTCGGTGCAGAGGGTAGCAGCGGAGATACAGCGTGGAGACGCAGTCATTGCCGTGGTCTTTAAAGTGTGTTGGAGATGGACTTAGCCGCCCGCTACTATGCTTTGCAATGTACCTGCAAAATCGATTGACTCACTGTAAGTCAAACCTGTGCAGACATGCATCACCGAACTTAACTTAATGACGGACGTCCTCTCATTTGTGAATAAATGTAGTCTTCTGAAGCTTCCCCATTGTGTGTTCTTATACGTGAGAAAGAAATCGCTTTGCACCGCGGCGCTACTTCTCGGTCATGTTACCCACTGAGTGCTTCCTCAACCTCTCCTAGAAAGGAGGGCTCTCTCAGCCGCGCGTGGCGTGGCTGTAAGGTCGGCGCAGGAGTTTCGAAAGAGCCGCGCCGAATGAGCATCAAACTCCCCAGAAACACAATATACCTAACACATTACGGTCGGTTATTTTTATAGACCATTTGATAGAGAAATTTAGTTCGTTATATCTATCTATCGGTCAATTTTACTTCATTACAACGAGGTTTAAAATGCATGGTTCTCAATGGAGCTTTCATGGAAAACTTCATTTACTTCATTATATCCATTATATCGTTATATCTCATTAGGTTATAACGAGGTTTGAGTGTACTATGCACCTTTCATTTTCAACTAATTTACACGGTTTACTATTTAGAAAAACAATTTCGCATTGCAGTGCGGAGCCATCACAAGCCGCATCTACACTTCCCTTTCATGGTATGGTCTAGCCGCCACAACAGAGAAACTCGAGTGGCATCCATACTTGTCAGTATGCGATCAGCCAGCGTAGTTTGTAAGAGGTGCATGAGTCAGAAACTGTAGCAAGTTGAGTGCGATTGCCTGGCTTTTTTTTTTGGCAATTGATGGCAACATTCGCTATTACAGCGGCATTTTATAACAAACAAATGAGTGTAGTCATGTGCTATTTGAGAGGTGCATTCGCATGGTGCGCTCAAGTGCCAGTGTATTATGCCGGTGTGCCATTAATGGGGGCATGCAACAAGTGCTATGATGCACACAAGGGGCCGCAGCAACACTTTGCGCCAGATGTGAGCTCATGCACATGGTTACAACCAGTGTGCCAAAAACTTTGAGCAGTCAGATTGACATGGAACCCTCCCACTGCAATATATGAAACTATTGCACGTCTGAATTTACATTCACGTTAAACACCTCATGTTTTCGGTTCATGAAGGTCCATAAACTACTACAGTTGAATCCCTCTGCAATCAAATTTACGGGACACATGAAAGAAAATTCATTCTTGCGGAATTTTGTGGTAGTGAAATTTTCATCTATAGAACATGAATTTCAGTAAGATCTGATAATTATGACTCGTCCTTTGGTTTATCGAAACAGACGGCAGTCCTGGAAGCGAAAGTAACGCTCCTACGGGATCGTGCACTCATTGTAGTAATCTATTCTACCACCTCTAAGCAAGGGTTTCCGAACTGTCCCGCAAAAACATGCAGTAGACCACAAAATAACACTGGTCAACAAAACAACGCCACTCGCGAGCTCGGGGGTCTGGCTTGTTCAGGCACGTCATGCACACGTGACCTCTTGGTCAGATGCTGGAAAGGGTAGGGAAGAGATTTGGCGTGCGAAGGCTACGCGGGGAACAGGCAAGGGTTTCGAACTCACCTATTTTTAAACTTGTCTCGCGCCGCTACAAAAAAAAAAAAACACTGTTTTCTCAGCTCGTAATGAACCGATTGAAAATAGTTTTGTCACATAATGCTCCTCGTCGGCTACACAACAACTTCTGTGGTCTAACTAAAATTTGTTATGAGGCCTGGTGAGTGGCCCATTAGGATGATCACAAGGTGGCCATATAGCAAGTACAAAAACATTTCACGTGCATAACTGCTCGTGGTGTAAACCATGCACAGAATGCAGTCATATGCGAAAGCTTCACTGGCACAAGCTACTTTAAACTTGATAGATTACATTGTAGTAACCCACAATTTGAACTTCTCGAGTAACATCATACAATAAGCATACACTAAGTGGTTGAAGTATGCACTACAGGAAAAGAATTGTATTGCTATCACGTTAAACTCTTAAAGGGCCTGCAGATCATGTCCAATATTTTAAAGACGATAGTCTTTTTGGAGACCTTTTTTTCAGACATTTCGAGTAAGCGTGCGCATTGTGTGCAGAATGCCGTCGCGAT